GATGGATGGATGGATGGATGGATGGATTGTGCCACATTATTTATTTTTTATTTTATTTATTCTTCTTTTTATTTCCGCTTTTATTTTATTATTCTTTCATTGACTTATTGTTGTCGTTTGGCGTTCTCACTACTCTATAACTGCTGTAAATCAACAATAAGACAAAACATTTCTTCACATGACGCCTTTGCCTTTTTTTTCTATACACACTATATACAGTCCTCTCCAGTAAATCTGACTTTCTCTCCTTTTGAACACCTCTTGGATTCCTTCAGGCAGTGGTTTTTCTTTACACGGGGTTTGTTTCTTTCTACAAAAGCTCTCTTCTGAAAAACTAAACCTGGATTTATGAGTCAGTGAGTCTAAGTCAACAACATAGGGTTGATTTAAAGAGGGACAAACAGCCAGATTCGGTTTTATACAGTCCTGTGACAGGTGCACATGATGCACTTCATCATATTCTGAGTATTAAGTCGGATCTTTTGTGGGCCATCTGGACTGCAGGAGACCTGGACCTGGACTCACCTTTGGTGTGCCCCCCTCTGCTTCCACCGTCGTCAACCCATCTGTCGCCAAAGTCTTCAGATGGCTTCTGGTCGTTGTAAAGGATGTACGCTAACTCTGTGCTCTGTGAAAAGAACAAACACTTACTTTTATACATGTTCAGATTAAACACAGAAAACAACAGAACACTTGAAGGAAACCTACAGCAGCAGAACCTTTATCAGAGGCGTACACGTGCTCTGTGGGATCATCGGATCAGCTGCAGCGAAACAGACCGATTCTATAAAAACGTGCAGGTCGATTCGCACTTCTCTCTGTTGGTTTCTTTTTCTGATCTAATAATGTCAAGCGGTCATCGCGCTGCATTTAAGAGGTGTCATAGGTTTTATGACAGCAGCGAAAAGCAGAAGTAAGGACCAATCATTTTAGGAAGCTTGAGCTGTAAATGAATTTAACGTGTAAACTACAGCTGCTGCTTTGGTAGAGTTCTGTCAGAGTTTCAGTATATAAAAGATTCAATCAGTTGTTTTAGATCAGATGTGATTTTTGATTTCAAACAGATCATCAACAAGATAAAACTTTTAAAGGACAATGACCAAAAAAGTAAGGTCGTGGTTGTCTTAAATATAAACTCCACGTGTTGAATACATGAACAACAAGGAAACGAAAGCTGCTGAAACCTGGAGGAATGCTGACTTTAACTGGTGTGGCTTCCAAAAACATGAACCAAAACTCTCAATAAAACAAAACTGACTTCTTAGCGTTCAGCTCTACTTTCGCTGCAGACAGAAAGAGGTAGCAGACCTTTCCCTGTGAGTACAGCTGCCCCACCGTCCGGCCCAGGGCTCCCGTCGTCTCGTTCACAGAGCCCTTCCCATCCGTCCAGCCTGCACTGCCTTTCTCCAGCAGCAGATACCTCTCACCCTCTATGGGAGACTTCCTGCCGTGTTCTTTGGGCAGCTTGTAGATGTAGAACCTAACTCGTAGAGAGACAAAGAGAGGAGGACGTCTGTAGACGTGTTTCTTACATTGTTGGATGTGTTCAGCTGTTATAGAAACACTGGTTCAGAGACTTACGGCATCTAACAAACCAAAAAGTCTATTTGTAAATGACTCCTCTGTATGTAGGATTGTTATCAATTAATTACCAATCAACAGCTTCTCCTTGATCATTGTAGCAGCTGATTGGTGAGGCTTCGCCCCCTAGTGGCGCACAGAGGATCAGCAGGGACAGGAACAGCAGCATCTGACAGCAACAGATTGATAATTAGTAAAGTCAATATAGACACCAGTTTAAAGCTACAAGAGGGTTTAAGATGGTACTACATGACAGGATGGGCTCAAATGTTTCTGTTACTTGCTTGAAGGAATAATGATCTCTGTCTAGATGAGCTCTGAGGTGCTTTTAGTCGTGTGAAAGTGTCGATATAGCAGCGTAGAGATGCAAAACAAGTTCAGTAAAAGTCCAGCGTTTAAAGGTTTTCTAGCTGTGAAATAACTCCCAGCAAATGTGCTTCACAGAAGAGCTGCTTATGCACAACCACAGACAAACGTACAGGACGAGTCACATTGCTGCAGCTGACCCTGACTTTTATTCTTTCATTTACTTTCTCGGTTAATCGACTCCTTGTTTGGTTTGTAAAATATCAGAAAGTGGTGAAAAATGGTTCCTCGTGTTTGTCCACAACCCAAATATATTTAGTTTACTGTTACTGAGGTGAAAGCAGGGAAAATAAATCACATTTAAGAAGCTGAAATTGGACACTTTTTGTTTTTTTGGTGACTACTAATTAAATAGCTCTAATGAGAAACCCATCATTTACTGCTGGTACATCTGTAATGTGAAGGCCTTCTGTAATCATAATGTGAAACTCGACATAATGAAGTAAATGTTTGATTCAGTTAAATAAAAGCATGAAGTAGCATAACAAGGAGATAATACAGCTGAAGTCTTTGTAAATCTGTACCTGTGTGGATGTGACTGATTCATCCCAACAGGCTGAGTGTGATTTCCAGTGAAACTCTGAGGAGCAGCATCTTGCTTTGACATTGAATGAAACTTGTCACGTTCAACACTAAAGCTCTAGGCTACAAAGTTCTGTACAGAGACTGATGGAAGTTGTCCAACACATAAACCAAACCACCCAGATAATTCAGCTGTCTGTGGGTTTTCCATTACAGATCCCAGTAAATCAGGCTAATTAGCAGAATATCATCAACAGGGATCATAAAGCCGCTAAAGCAGCAGTTAGTTTAATCCTCACCTCTACCTGTGTGTCCTCATCTATGTCCTCAGCAGCGTCTTATTGTGTCTTGAGCATGAACTTCTCCTGTTCTGTCCAAGTTTCGTCTCCACCTACATCCTTGTTTTGGTCTGAGCTCAGACTAGCGGGATGAGACTCTGACGTCCTCAAACAACAGACCGTCTGCAGGAGCGAACAGGAAGCTAGCAGGAGGCACAGAAGGTTCCTACAGCAGGTGGAGGGATTTAAACACACTCTGGCTCGTTTGTTGTTGTTTACAGTCACGGTTTTTATTGTCGAAACCTGTCGCGCCTTCGTCTCATCCTTTACGACAAGTCCTAGGTTTCAGTCACGTGGTCTGTGACGTCAGCTGGCAGGCGGGGCTGCACGGAAAACTATATTAATAATTATATTATATTATATTATATTATATTATATTATTATTATTCTAATTTATACTCAAGGAAAACAAAAACATTATATTTTCATTTTTAAGCTTTACCACACTAATTTATGCTTTTATTTATGTACTTTTATGTTGTATGTACTTTTAATGTCATTATATAGTAAAGTGAAGTTTGATTATTGGTGTTACAGTAATATTTTAAACCCCGTTCAGCTGAGACTCACTTTGGTTCCGACCCGTCACTGTAAATCAGATGTGAGTGTAACAGAGACAATGTGCTGCAGAGGCTAGAGGGTGAAGTGTGTACTGTCACGCTGATAAAACAACAACAACAACAACAACAAAGCTACTTCAGTTTCCTTCCCAGAGATCTCTGACTGAATGTTACCGTTGTTCCTCTTTTCCAGCTGAACTTCTTGAACGTGCACGTCTGGTCCATATGTGATGCTGATGTTTGTACACGACTGTCTAGATGTTTTTTTCTAATCATTCTTTATCTGTGTTTATAAAAGTAGAGTATTCAGAGACTAACTCTAACCCACAGGACAAACACATGTAGAACACGACCCTCCTGCAGCACTAGAGTTTAACAGATTCATTAGACCTCCACCCAGTGTCAGGTTTACACCACAGCTGCCCTAAATAATCACCCAGATCATGTTTGTGTTCCTGTAACGGTTAATACACCAGCATGTAGACGCTCTTTAGCTGAAATTAGATTTTTAATGCTAAAATATAATTATTATTGTTGTCCATGAATTTTCAAATTTACTCTTTTACAAAAAAATGGGGAAAAAAGAGTAAAGCATTTTATTATTTCTTGTTTAAGAAGTCAAATTATAGTCATTTACTTGCCTTTCTGAACAGAAAATGTATTTTTAGTGGTTGAATATGATGCTTGACTAATTCCTGACTTGTCAGAAGTACAGTGGGCCGGCTCAGATGTGGGTATAAAAAGGTGGATTCAGTTTGTAATTCCTCATTCCTCTTCAAAACAGCAAAACATCGACAGCTGAAGAGCTTGAAGAGCTTCATGATGCTGGATGGTCCATATCAGGCAGCTGATCTGATAAAACATCTGGGTTTTCATAAAGGGACTGAGTTTTAACACTACAGGGTTCATCTGATCATCACTATCTTCACCTCCTCACATGACACACTGGCACTGATTTCAGGCGGCCTGAACTCAGTGGAACGGCCTTTAAAAGTTCTGTAACACCGTCAGAGTAAACCTCCACAGTGCTGTTAGTTCTAACTACAGATGTCACAGACTTTGACCTGTGCGTGAGTAAAGAACCTAAACTCCCCCTGGAAGGGTCTCTAAATCAGCCAGTAAATATAAATTACAGCTTTCCGTATCTGTTGTTTGACAGGCGTCCTGTAATCTGCCTGAACAGGAACAAGCAGACGCATCACTGACCCAGGCCTCGGCTAAACACTTCACTTACACACTTCCATCTCAAAAGTGGATCTAGTTAGACAGTGTGCTGCTGTTTCTTCCTGTTTAAGTCTTTCACAACAATTTTTTTTCTTGTGTGCGTGTGTGTGTGTGTGTGTGTGCGTGTGTGTGTGTGTGTGTGCTTTCTTCTTCTGCACCGTTCGTCAGAGCGCTGCTATCAAACATCACAGAGTTATCCTCCGTTTGAGGAAGTGACACAGCATCCTCCCGTCACCTCTAACCTCCCTCGCGCAGGCCGACCAGGACTTCCTCACAAAGCTTTCCTTTTGAGCTGAGTGGACTGAACTGGAACCAGAGCAGGTCACAGGGTTCCAGGAGGCCCCCCGTAGCTGCTGACACAAAGTGGCCCTGATTACTTCCTGCAGCATTTTTAAAAATATATTTTAGTCACATGGGTCTCGGGTTGCCATGAGCGACAGCCGTGTTCTATTTAGCAGCAAATAGTGTCAATTAAAGTTATTTTCATTTAACTTCACAGCTACTGCCAGGTTTTCCTGTAAAGTTTAATTTCTATTATCATAAATTATAAATATATCATTTTTTGCTTGAGGTTGACAATTAAAAAAAGTTTTTACAGCCATTGATTATCACCTCTAACCATTAAAATCCTTTTTTTAAGACAGTACAAACAACACGGCTCGTTTATGGTTCCTGTGGTGCTGAATGAGTATCTGTTGCTCGCTTCTGGATGATTGACTCACAACAAAAAGGACGCAGTAACGCAAACTAAAAATCAGGAAGTCTGAGATAACGCCTGTTTTCACTCCATTCATTCTGTAAAAAATTAACGCCTTTATCTTTGCCTCGTTTGTTCGCTAATCGAACCATCGCGTGCTTATCGATTCCTGCCTGAGTGTTTCCTTCTATGTGAAATCAGACTTTAAAGCGGCAGTTTGTGGTGATATGACCGAGTGACGGCGTGATGCTTAACGATGAGGAAGCCAGAGCAGGGTTTACAGACCCTTTTATCACCTGCAATTATTCTGTTTTTGCCGTGTGCACAAACCAAACGAGCGTCTGATTAATGTGACGAGTCTCTCAGTCGTCTGATGGCATTTTGGACAAACTGAACAAACGGATAAATGCAAATTTCTCAAATGCTCATTTGGTTTATTGTATGGAGGAGAATTATTATTTGCATACAGACAAGTACTAAGTGGCTCCGGAGCCCCCCACCATGTGCCATCACTTTATCTACCATACAAATAAGGAGGACAATGGAGATCCTCCACATCAGGAACCTGCACACACACAGCAACCACTCAACAGCTCATTGCAGACATTCAATAAAATACAAGATTATCCAGTAAGAAAGCATTTCTAACAATCCTGTTCACTAGGAAACAGAACAAAGCAGTAAACTTCTCATCAGGAACGTCCTTTAACTTACACCAAAAGCTTAGCGTTGTTGCTACAGCCTTGACAACTTTAACACTGACCGACAAGAGGGACGACAGCTCCCCAAACGACAAATAGGAAACCAAAGCAAAAAGGCTACGATGCTGGCTGCCTCCAACAGTAGCCCCCACAGCTTCTCGTTTTCCGTCTCAGGTTTGCAGCAAGCGTGGTAGTTCAGTCCTCTGCTCGTCCATGCGTCCCCCCTGAACCCTCAGGAGCAGGGAGAAGAAGTCCTCGTCGTCCATGGGGCCCGGAGCTCTGCTGCGCTGGTCCTCCAGCCGGCCCTGGGCCTGTGGGGGGACGAAAGAGGGGGAAATTATGTCAGTGACTTAGCACTGAAGGGGGGACATCAGTAAAGCTTGCAGGATGCCTTGTGTGGACTTCTGCTGACAACGCCTTAGGCCGTAGAAAAGCACTGAGTCTGGGTTGCTTACTTGTGTGGTGAGAATCATATTATACAGATCCTCTTTGGGCACAGGAACTGGTGCAGGCTTTTTCACAAAAGACAGTTGTTTTATGCTGCCTCTGAAGCTTCTGGTTTTTGGTTTTGGCGGCGGGGACCTTTCGAGCTGCGCCCTCTGATCATCCAGCCGGCGGGCCTGTGCAGTGGCCACCAGCTCAAAAAACTCCTCTTTCTGCAGCGAAGTCATGGAGGAAAAGACGACTGAGAAGAAAATGAGAGAAAACAGCTTTAATGGTCACATAGGAGGAGACTTTAAGTGGTCAGTGGTCGAGGAGAGACATGGAAACGTGGAGTTTCAAAACATCCCTGAGTCATAGGGAATGGCTAGTTTCATGTTTCATGTTTCTTCTGTTTCAGCAACATGAGTCAGCATCATGACACGGAAACAGCTGCATCACTTTCATCACGCTAATGCTACAAAAAAAAAAAAAAACCATGGCCGTCTGAAAGTCTCCCACCTCTGTTGACTGGCTTGGTGGTGTTGGGCTCAGAGTGGCACCTCCTCCGCCTCATCCCGCTCTCCATCCTGAAGGAGCAGCGCTGGTCGTTGAGCCGCCTGCCCTCCTGAAGGGTGCACAGCAGCTCGTACAGCGCCTCCGGGAAGTCAGGGGTTAACCGGTGAGCCTGAGAAAACACGGGTAGGTGGCAGAGAAAGAATGAGGGAGACAGGAAAGGTTTCTGAGTGAGTGGCACAGACTGTTTGTTGGCAAAGCAAAAGACTTCAACTCCTACGTACTCCCACATGCTCTGTAATAAAATGATACCCGCTGTTTTTCCACCACCACGCTGTTTTTCTTGTATCGGCCGGTCGGTTAATTCAAAAACATTGTGAACACTGTGTGACCTACAGAGATAATATCAGGACACTAAGCGAGACCAAATAAAAATAAAACAGTTTCTCAACCTTTTTTGGATCCTCTTCTGGGTTTGGTTCCCCTTCACGTTGTTCCTCAGAAGAATTTAACCTCTTTGTGTCCGCTTGGGGGTCACTTTCTGTCACATCCTCTGTGTTACTGGGTTCCTCTGGTTTTTCTTGAACCACCATCCCTTCATGTGTCTGCCCTTCACCCTCACTGTCACCTCGGTTCTGTCCATCATCTATGTCCTCTGGTCCATCCTCTCTCGTGTCATCTTCCTCTGTGTTGGCCTGTTGTCTCCCCGAACACAGTTTACTTGCTATATCTTCTGGATTCTCTTCCTCTCTTGTGCGCTTCTCTTCCTCTTTGAGAGCAGATTCTTCTCTACAGCTCCGTGCGACGGCATCCGAGCTGCTCGTCGCTTCTCCTTCAGCGACTGCTGCGTCTCCGTCTTCGGTGATGACGAGACGCTCCAGCAGCTCCTCTTCGGCCATTTCAACTTTGATCTCTGCGTGGTCCGTTAATCAAGTCAAAACCCTGACGAGGAGGTAAACAGGAGCAGGGGCGAGGTCACAGATCCTTTTGTTTCCACTGTTAGTACATCTGAGAAAACAGCAAACAGCTCTGAAATCATTTGCCATAGACATGTGTTAACAGACGTGAAGACGACAACAGAGCAGCTGTGCTTTGCTTGCTCAGAAATGCATGAGAAACCAGTTTGGCAGGTTCTGGCACGTTGGCTACAGATGTTTAAGCTGGAAATCCAACTGTAGGTCGTATATTCCTGTTAGCCGTATGACAACAAAGGTGTGTGACAGCGTAATCAGAGCAGATGTCATCTTCTTGTTGCTGATTGATGACTTGTCTGGTCTATTTCCCAAACATATGACTATAATTCTTGTTGACAGATATATCCCCACGTCATTCTCCCCCAAAAGTCACTCTGTCTACCTCACAGTAAATGTACATTTCACCCTTACCTTAATCTGTTTTATCTCCTCAAAACATCATCTCTTGAAGTCCCCCCAGACTGAGCGCAGCATTTTTGGCTTGCCACTTGTCTTGTGAATATCTTTGTGAAGAAAAAAAAAAAAAGAATCTGCTGTGAAGAGTTTCACATGCCGACGTGACAAGCTCTCGCTCTTTCTGTCTGCCTTGCTACCTTCTCTCTCTCGTCTCCTCTCTTCCTGTTCCTCTTACCACAGCCCACCCCTATTTATTTTGCCCACATCTGACAAGTCAGGTTATCATAAAGCACCACTGTCAGAGGCAAAATGGACGCCTGGCGTGCATTAGTCCAAGCCTGTTGTCCCAGGAAAGGGTTTTATACACCGAGGCAAACTTAAAGCTGTCAAAGCAGCTCGAGGCGGCTGCTTCTTTTACTGCTGTTCACTTGATTATGTCAGAGCCGACTGCAGCATGTTGAAACAGGCGCACAGCTCTTCTGACACTGCTGTGGTTTGGCACACATCCTGTTGACTTGTAGCTAAAACGAGAAGTAGAGTCAGACAAGTGAGAGAAGCCGTCCAAGTGAGATTATCACGTTAAAAAGGAGAAAGTATGAAAAGTACCTTCTGTAATCTGCCTCTGTTAGTGCTTAAAACTAGGTTCAGCCATGAAGGATGTTCATTATGTTAGTTAGTTGGCTCTTCTGTGTTATGCACACACACACACACACACACACACACACACACACACACACACACACACACACACACACACACACACACACCCAGACAGACTGAGACACATACTTCTGCTTTCTGAAAATGCAGGCTGTGCAGATGTTTTGCTGTTGTGGTTGCTTTTAACTGAGCACTGTTGCTCCACTGGTGCCACAGAGAGCCTTTGTCTGTCACATGCTGCTCCGTGGTGCCTGCCTTGTACCTCGTCCTGGCAGTCGCTAGGGGCCCCTGCTCTGCTCGATGCCTCGGATCAAGCTGTGTGGTGTCTGTGAGCGCAGTTGGGCAGCAGTCGTCGCCACTGTGCGTCGCTGAAGATGTTGCAGCAGCAGCCTCTGACGGGCAATGGGCCATCCAACGGCCGGGGACTCGGCGTGAGCGGCCACCCCGGGATGCATGCGCTCAACTCGGTTCATCAAGCTTCCCAGCACCGGTCCGACGGAGGGGAGCCGGGCCTCGAGGGCACAGAGAACGGACACGAAAGCCGCAGAGATATTGGTGACATACTGCAGCAAATAATGACCATCACCGACCAAAGTTTGGACGAGGCACAAGCAAAGTTAGTGACAACTTTGTTTTTATTTACCATCTTTAAATTTATTGACGTCGCAGCAGTTTTTTTGTTTTCCTGCTTTGTCGACTCAGTCCCGCTGTGGCAAAGTTTCCTGAACTTCAGTCTATTGTTTGGATTATTTAGCCAGGGGCTAGCTAATTAGCCGGATAGCTAACAAAAACAAAGTCGCGTTTGTAATAACCTGTTCAGACTGTAATTCATATGTTGTTACGTTAGTAAATGCTAATTGTGTCGCTGCTGTTGGGTACATTTTTCTTTTAGCGGCGGTTGTTTTCAATGTAGCCATTGTTAGCCTGCTAGGCTACGCTAAGGCTAACTAGCTAATGCTACAATTGACAGCTAACTGACACCGCTAATTTAAACCTTGAAACGGCAATTTCCTTCTCATGTTAAGTTTTAATTGTGTCGTAGGTAAATTTAAACATGAGCAAAGTAATTAGCTACCGAATACAGCCAGCTCACCAGTGAGCCTCCTCACCTCGTAGCTAGCCAGAAGCTAACGTTTGCTAGATTAGCCCGGCTAAAGCTATGCACGTAATTAGTGTTTTTGTTTTGGTTAATTTGCATGCTGTCACTCAGCCTCTGTGTGCACTTAGCCTGCTATGCTAGCTACAAGTCATGCTCTTTTCTTTATGCACTACAGGAAACATGCACTTAACTGTCACCGGATGAAACCTGCGTTGTTCAGCGTTTTGTGCGAGATCAAGGAAAAAACTGGTACGTTAGCGCCGCTGACACGCGTTCTGATGTGGTCGCTGGGAGCCATCAGCGCATTTCGTTCTGGTTCAGTGTGCAGTGGGTTCCTGCTGCTTTATTAGACCGTGTTGACATTGTGTCATCGGATGCCAATAAAACCACAAACAAGCTGAATGGCTGCACACACACGCACACGCACACACACACACACACACACACACACACACACACACACACACACACACACACACAAGGAATCTGGCTGTCAGTAACTCTCATTGTACTTATTGCACAGTAAATAGACAGCTTTAATGTTAAATACTATTTAGTGTATAATTGGGGATAAATGACAACAGCTGGACAAACAGACCTGCTGATAGTTTCTGCAGGTCATTCAGTCACAGGTTGTGGATCTTGTTGATCCTGCATCACTTCAGCCTGTTTATTAGTTGCGTAGCTGGAAGTTTGATGTGAAATAAGATAAACTGACTCCAACAGATCAATGCTGCCTTTTTCCTGCTGTTCGATACAAGAGGAATTCTTGTCACAGCTTTTGTTTTCAATGACAAATCTAGAAGAGAAATCTGTCTGATTGAACATCATTCACTCCAATTTAATGCTTTTTGGATACACCGAGTTTAAAAATAAACCTTGTGGCCTGAGTTTGTTCCACATGTGGACAGAAAAATGAACGAGGAAAAGACCAGAAACATTGAAAAGTGAGATGTGGTTTCAAAAAGAAAGCTGCATGGAAATATTTCAGCCACAGAAATAATGATGTTGACCAAAAAATGGGACTTTGTTGGCTTTGTCTTGCAGTTGCTGCCGTTACACGAGGCAACACAACTAATGATCGTTTAAATTAGCAGCAAAAATCTCTCTTACCACTGCAGAGCCAGGCCTTAATGCCAAGCAAAAAGCCTCTCTGAATGCATTTGCCAGCGTTGCACAAGTTGAGAAAGGTTCCCAGTGGGTGTTTTAGCTTCTTCCTTTTTATTTTTTCCCCCCAAATTTGTGCTTCTTAGAAAACAAAATATTCCAAAGTCAACTTTTTCCAATAGCACTCAACCATAAATCCCATTCTCGTAGATTAATCGTAGCAACTGGACCATGACCTGGATGAATGAGAATCTGCACAGACAACCATAAATCCTGCACCACAAGAAAAAGCATCCTTAAAGTCATAGCATTCATCTGTCTAACAGTAAAACAGGTGGGAGAGGGTTATGAATGCTGTTACTGTGGAATTATAATCTTTAATTTTACTGCACAAAGCAGTCACTAAAGAAAGTGGGTATAAATAAATCTGTAGCAACGTTTGTCATGATTTCCTTTGGCTGAGCGACCAGTAGCCAATCAGGACAAAAGTTAACAGCAAACTTAAATTCATTAGTTGTACAGGTTAAGGGTCTTCTGTTGACATTTCATCCCCAAAACCAAAAGATGCTAACGTCCATCGTGTTGACAGGCCTGTCAATGAGGAACGCGCAGGAGGAGGAGCCTCAGGACCCTCAGCTGGTGCGACTGGACAACATGCTGCTGGCGGAGGGCGTAGCCGGGCCGGAGAAGGGCGGCGGGGCTGCTGCTGCTGTGTCTGCTGCCACCAGCTCGGGAGGGATGTCGCCCGACAGCTCACTCGAGCACTCCGACTACAAAAGCAAGTTGAGCCAGATTCGCAGTATCTACCACACTGAGCTGGAGAAGTATGAGCAGGTACCGTGTCGCAACAGGGGATGACATTGCCTGTACACGCTTGCCTGTTCTGCAGCTGCCCGCCAGGAGCGTAATGCATTGGCATGTTAGGTCTAGTGCTCTCATGGCATAGCTCTGCTTTTAGGGGGGAAACGTAGCCACTGAAATGCTAAATTTACCAGCAGGATAAAAACAATACACGAAACATTGTTCTGATGATGGTGACAGAGGTGTTTAGGGTATGTTCTGAGGTGTTTCTAATATTCTGCTGCCGTCATGTATGTAAATGGAGAGGACGTGGAAATTAGAAAGACCTCAGCATAATGTTCAACGCTGCCTTTAGCTACGAGCTTAGCAATGAGCATCTAACCTCATTCACACATTGATGTTAGTTTGTGTCCACGCTGACTGACCAGAGCAATGATGTTAATAAGAAGTGAAGAGTTTATTTGCAAAAACAGAGAACTTTGTTGTTTGCTTGAGTGGATCTGACTCAGTAGAAATGACAACATCAGAGATAAGTTGAGTTTGTCTCAGGCAGACGATGTGGGTTTCTGAAGGTTTGGGAGTTACCTGTTTTTGCAAATGAGCTCTTCAGATACTAATCCTTATAATAATGTAATTTGTTATGTTGTGACGTTACATTTCTTTCTCCACTAAAGCAAGAATATGCAAGTTGGCAAAAGTCAGAATATTCATGATGAATAACGGCTAACCCGTATGAACGGTTCACGTGACTGTTGCTCGTTTCTGTCGGTCACCGTCTCTCCTCCTGTGTTCGCGTCTCCCAGGCGTGCACCGAGTTCACCACCCACGTCATGAACCTGCTGAGGGAGCAGTCGCGCACACGACCCGTCACTCCGAGGGAGATCGAGCGCATGGTGGCCATCATCCACCGCAAGTTCAGCTCCATCCAGACCCAGCTGAAGCAGAGCACCTGTGAGGCCGTCATGATCCTGAGGTCCCGCTTCCTGGACGCCAGGTGGGCAGTGAGCTGCTGTAGTTTTCCTTTTATGGAGACATTAGGGTATTAAATACTCATCCCTGTAGGCTTGTACAGCTTGTGTAGGATGACTCCTACATGCATACCGATAACTTTTAGGATGATTTCAGATTGTGATAGACAGTAAAGAGAATTTTCAAATAGATCAAATAAACCATTTTTTAGAATACTTCCTAATTTGACAGCTGCTGCTTATGTTTCAATTATAAATCAAAAATGAGAATATACGCTGCACTGGTGCATCTTGAGCTCACTATACTCACATTTCTATGTTAAATGCTTATTTTATGGGGCGCCGCTACAGCTCACCTGGTTGAGCTGGCGTCCCATGTTCAGGGGCTCTAGTCCCTGATGTGGAGGTCATGGGTTCGAATCCCACTCATGGCCCTTCTCTGCAGGTCCTTCTCCCCACTTTCCTGTCTCTCTCTCTTTACTGCTCTATCAAATAAAAGCAAACAAAAAACAAAAACTAACACATTAGCCGTTTAGCTCTGTGTGTGTGTGTGTGTGTGTGTGTGTGTGTGTGTGTGTGTGTGTGTGTGTGTGTGTGTGTGTGTGTGTGTGTGTGTGTGTGTGTGTGTGCGCGCTGAAGGGCCACAGGAACCGTGAGGAGCAAACAGTAGCTGTGACAGAACGTATAATAGAGTGAAATAGAATCAGCACTCATCACCTGTTTGTGTGTCATCAGGCGCAAGAGACGCAACTTCAGCAAACAGGCCACGGAGGTCCTGAACGAGTATTTCTACTCCCACCTGTCCAACCCGTATCCCAGTGAAGAAGCCAAAGAGGAACTTGCCAAAAACTGTGGAATCACCGTCTCTCAGGTGAGTGACAAACAGCCGGGATGTGCTGCTGGATGTTCTGACAGCATGGAGGACGTTCACAGTGAAGCAGCAGCTGACTGGTCCTTGGAGCGGCTCGTACTTCCCGAAGCATCTGTGTGCATTTTAATCTGCTGCTCAGGGTTTAATGTCTACATTTTTTGTGCCAGGTCTCCAACTGGTTTGGCAACAAGAGAATCCGCTACAAGAAAAACATTGGCAAGTTCCAGGAGGAGGCCAACCTCTACGCCATGAAGACAGCCCTGGGGGCCAGACAGGGCGATGATTCTCCTCACACTCCCAACTCCACAGGTACTGGAGACAATCACACCAGTTATATGCAGCTACGCACCTCCAGGCAGTGAAATTAAACCTTCAGCCGTCTCTGTCTGGGTTTCTGGCCTCCTGGCGGGTGTGAGTCACACTGACGAGGTGTCTACAGAGTTCCTGATAATCGTCTATAAAGCGTCAGATTATAGTAAATTAGGACTTGTCGACTGATTGACGCGTTCATTAGTTAAAGCACAGGCTGTGGATGGAGAAGACACGCCTGTTACATGTGACTGATGAGGCGTGTCTGCTGTCCTTCTCCAGGGTCCGGGTCCTTCTCCCTGTCCGGCTCAGCTGACCTGTTCCTCGGGGTTCCTCCTGTCAACGGCGAGCAGTCTGCCTACCAGATGGGAGTGCAGGTACTTCATATGGAGTCGTTACACACATGATGAGTAAATGATGAGCGTGATTATGTTTTACTGTCTGTCGACTAAAATCGAAACCAACAGTGGGCTGAACCAGCAGCCGTCTGTGTCGTCAGAGCTCCTCCTGTGTGGAGAAGTCACACAGCTCCTGCAGACGCACAGCTTAGATGTTTGACAATAGAAACATTACACAACAACTTATTTCATGCTCCCAGAACTTTACTTTCCTTTAATAACAAACCAAATGGACAAATATTTTACAACTCAAGCAAACTGAAGTGTTCAGATTTCCTGTCACTTTATTTTCCATTCATTTCAGACAGTCATGAAAATCTACTTTTAAGCCTGATTAACGCTTTATTAAAGTCACCACAGGGTGATGCCGTTATCGGAGACTTTATGTGGATCCACATAGAAACCTACAGCCGGCTGCTTCCCAGCCTGTTAGTCCAGCCTTCAGCACCAGCTTCATACAGCACATACCGGACCTGGATGTCCGCGGCTCCTTTCTCACAGAGAGGGCGCCGTCATGACGCTAAATGTTGGTGGTGTTTTACTCTCGGTGTGTGTGGGTGAGCGAGGGTGCACGTGACGTAAACGCTGTAAGTCCGTGAGACGTCCACATGCAGCCCAAAACTCACTGTGGATACATGGATAGATGCTGATTTAATGCACAGGACGGCTCAAGAAAGCCCCGTCAGAGCTGCTTTAGCCGCACAAGTGCATGTAGCCGTCCATGTGTAGCGTGGTGTCAGAATGTCACTACAGCTGTGTGTCTACCTCCACTGCTGCCGTGATGGTGCAACAACAACCTTCTTTACCTTAAACACACACCAGTGAGGCAAAATAAAGGCCTTCATGCAGCTTCAGCAGGCCGTATATGAAAGGGGATGGTGTTTCCATGAAGACCCTGAAGCACTGTGTTTAAATGCATAGCCTCAAAACGACACACGGTTTGGATCAAACAGAACCAGACAGCGTGTATTGTGATGGTTTACCTATTTTAATATTAGTCTCCGGTCTTTTGAAGCCGATTCTGGCAGTAGAGAGGACTGTACATGTAATATTACTGTTTGAGTCCATGGTCAAGTTCTGGAAGAACCAGACTGCAAACGGTCACAGAGCATTTAAGGAAGAAAAGCCTCAGATTTATCAAAGCAGCTCAAAGATAGACGACCGGATCAAGGTGAGAGGTGTTTCTTTACTTTAACATGTTGCTGCAATTTTCACATCCTGGAATGGTCTGGGTGATGTTGGGAATTCCTGTTGTAGCGATGCTGGGTGCACATGGTGGACACACACGCTAACGCTAGCTGGTTTAGCCTAATACAGTGAACACAGATGCTAACGTTAGCTGGTTTAGCCTAATACAGTGAACACAGATGCTAATGTTAGCTGGTTCAGGCTAACACAGTGAACACAGACGCTGTCGTTAGCTGGTTCAGGCTAACACAGTGAACATCAGCAGGCTGCGGTTGCTACCATGTAGTCCATCACAACATATAGTTTTGTTGGTTGAAACATTGTGTGTGCAGCAGTTTTTGTTTTTTGCTTGTTTTTTTAATTCACTGATTCGATTGGTTTGTTGTTGGTATAAATATAACAATGGAAATGTTTCGCTGCTGTTGTGAGTGAAGGTCTAAGAACCAGAGATGCTGTGCTGATAAACCACAGCCATGAGTCACACGCTGCCCTCTGACACACTTGTCTTTGTTTTCTTCTTTCCCTTTCGGTTTCTCAGGCTAACGGAAACTGGCAGGGTCGGAACTCGCCCCCGTCTGGCGCTTCCCCCCACAGCGACCACTCGGAAAACTCTGACTGATGGCCCCGCCCACTGGCACAGAACGACAGCGACGGAAAGATTGACGACGGTAAAGACAGAAAGAATGATATCACACTTCCCACTTGGCTGCAGTTGTACCTTTTTTTTTCGTTGTTTTTTTTTGTATGTCGTTTATTTGGTTTGGTTGTGTTTAGGGCCGGACCCGAATGGCCGAATAGCCGACTGTTCGCTCGCTGACCTGGAACCGGGGCATCGCCCGCCGCCACCGAGCGAATATTCGGGATATTCGTCATTAATTGGGGCCGAATATCCGGAGAACAGAAATTGCTATTCGGACCAGCCCTGGTTATTTTTAAATGTTTTTCTTTTCCTGCCGCTCGGCGCCGCTCATTATTGGGTTTGTCTGATCCGCTGAGTGCACGGATGGCAGCGTGAGCGTGTGAGTGTGTCGTGTGCATGCAGGTGTGGTTTTCTTACTGGGATCGTGGGGTTCGTTTTCCACTACTCTGGACATGTTACTGATGTGTTTGTGGCTGGGGAGGGGAGGGGACTGCATTATCATGTTTTTAGCACACTATATCGTTATTATTATTAATATTATTGCTTTTATTATTAGCGCCGCAACTGTTTTCTTTTTAACAGCTCAGAAAGAGAGAATGCATTTTAGTGAGTGAGAGGGCAATAGAGAAAAATCCAAAGACTCTGTGTGTTTGTTTCTCTGTTTGGTTTTTGTTTTTCTACTGGGCTTATGTGTCCCTGTAAATGAATGAGGCGTGCCTGAGTCCATATTAATGGTTTGAGTGAGTGTATCAACAGTGCTGTCTTTTTTCTGTACAGTGAAACACCTGTATTCTCTCTACCTCTTTTACAATAAAGACTCTCTGTATTCACAAGCAGCTGGTGATCGGCTTCATTTATGTTCCTTCGTGAGGTCATAATGACAGAAATGGAAAAGTCGGGGCCTGAATAAAGGCCTGATTCAGTCAAACAAAGAACATGTCCATGTTTTCTCTGCCCTCTGTTGGTGGTGTGTTTACATGCTCTATATACCTGAACACAGAGGTGCTAAATGGGGTTTGGTTCCTGGTGCTCACAGTTTGATGTTCCACAGATTTTTTAAAAATTATTATTATTTAATTTTCACTGGAATTAACTAAACTGATGAAAATCTGGGAGCTCGGATGCTGGAAAACACGAGTTAAACAATAGAATACTGTAAAACTCTTCATATATAATTTTATATAAGGTGACTCGGTTCTGTCAGGAGGAATGGGCCAGAACTCATCAAACTATTGTGAGAAGAGCTCGGTGCACCGTTAGCGCCTCACAGCTAGAAGGTCGCCGGTTTAGTGAGTTTTAAAAATAAATTACTATTTTTAATTCTTAAGAAAACATTTTTAATGTCAAATGTCCATAAAATATAATTTTTTGCTGATTCAAAGAAAATAAGAATCGTGTGAATTTACAGTCAGATACTGTAAAAGAACAAAATACTATTAAACACACAGAGATGTTTTATATGAATATATTTGACTGTTTTTGTCGTTTTTCTTTTTACAGATGTTAATTTAGACTTTTCTGTGATTTTCCTACCGTATTAAGGTGTATGCTGACAAAACGAAGACACATTTTCTCAAAAGACTTTTAAGAAATGTGAATTTCTTTGTTGTCAGTGCAGCAGCTGAATAATTCCCAGTCAGAGTTATCACAGGACGCGTGGAGTTAAGAACCGGATTGTGATTGTAATGCGCTCCACCTTCAGCCTGATTAAAGAATGTTAATTAATCTGCACCATCAAAGGGCCTCTGAGGCTTCAGAAGGGAGATGGAGACGCTGTCACGTGTGCGTCGCCGCCGCCGCTCCTCGTTCCCACGGTGCACATCAAAGGCTTTTCACGCGCACAGGTGAAACAAACGCGGCGCTAAACGGCGCGACATGCAGCACGAGACAGCGGCCCAACTGGCACGCGTGGTCCGCTGTGACACCGAGGTGTGAATGCAAATCCCCCCTCACACCTGGACACGGACGGACTAACAAATGCAAAGGTGCCGAGTGTGAACGAGGAGGTGTCGGCACTCGCCGTCAGTGCGCGCGCAGCTGGTGTCGCCAGAAAAGAAATAACAAGAAGAGAAAACAGAGACGCACAGAAAACAGTTCGGAGGATATAATTTCTTACACCATCGTGAAGGGACGATTTTAGAAGGTTTGTGGCCTTAATAAACCCAAAACAGATGTTATGAACCCATTCAGCTAGACCCACCTTGAATCATGTGCATGGACAGCTCATGCGCTCTCGGAGGCGCAGCGCCACGTACCAGTCCCTCCGTATCCACTTGTTATCACAGGAAAACTGTCAATCCTATTCATATATAAGGTCAGGGAGGAAAAATCAATTTTGGAGCAAAAACATCACTATAAACCCAGCACAGTGGCTCAGGGAATACCATTACCAACACGTAATGTAGAATAACAGCAGTTTGCTGTCTCTGCTACAATTTCTGCATAAACACAACGTTTGTCTATTTTTTATTTTATTTTATTTTTTATCATGCAAAAGAAATATCCCAACCCGAGCGTTGAAAATCACAAGGGTGGTTTAAACATTCTACACAGTTTATACCCTTTAGCAGGCACACAGAGGACAGAAAGCGGTACCAGCTTATCCTGTATGTCCCATGGCTTTTACGCACGACTTTTACGCACAGTACGGTTTCGTGAAAAGCTGATTTATTGGGAGATGATTAGATTTAGAAAAGGCTAAATCAATTAATTTGATTCAATTAAAGTTTGTCTGCTTTACTGGCTTGAAAAAAGAAGAAGAAGAAGAACAAAGAAAGAAACGTTGGTCCTGGAGGGGTTGATGGGTGGACGGTGGCTGCATGAGGGGCGGATCCCGGTTGTAAAACGTGGTGGTCCAGTAGGAGGAGTCTGATGGCATAAAAAGAGCGGCCAGAGAAGAGAAACTCACTACTGGAAACATCGGCTACAATGAAGCTGCTGAAGGAACCGGAGGGTGCCACCACCGACAGAAAGGTAAAATGAATCAAAACGCACGTGCTATACCTTGTTGTCATTCATTTACACAGACAGTGAATTAGATGTTTGAGCCGGCTTGTATTTTGGAGAGATGAAAGATGCTTATCCTATGGAAGTTCATTAACATTTAAGTTCAAATGTGGGTCATTCTCATGATGTTGTGGCCGTTTCTTTTTTCTTTTTGCTTCTAGTTGATAAAATCTCAGGTGGAGAAACGCAGAAGGGAGAGAATGAACCGCAGTCTGGATCGTCTGAGGACCATGTTGCTGCAGGAGCCCCAGCAGGTAGAGAGACAAACTCTGGAGTGGAAGCAGAGTCTTTACACGTCCTTTAACCCAAGTTATAGTGAAAAAATAAGTAAATACACGAACCTTAGTATCCATTAAAGCATCTTACTGTCAAGGCTGACAAACAGTAAATGAACTCATATTGTTGCTCTCCTGCAGGGTGGGACTCAGCACAGGGTGGAGAAAGCTGAGATCCTGGAGCGCACGGTCCTCTTCCTCCAGAACACTGACAAAGAAAGCAAGGCCAGAGCTGGAGCAGGTGGTGGCGGCCAGAAACACTCTTTCCAAGAGGGTTTCTCCGCCTGCCTGCAGAGAGCTGCTCAGTTCCTGGGGCCTGAGGGAAAAGGCCTGTGGCTCGGATCTGCCCTGGATTCATCTTTCACTGCTCGCTTCGCACGTTCAGATTCTGACCCTGCAGCCGCCCAGAGACGACCCTTCACCTCTCTGCCACAATCCAAGTCCATCCTTCGGCTGCTGAGGCAGAAGTCCAAGCACAAGCTGCACGCACGAGCCGTCGCCGGGAGCAGTTGTGCTCATCCGTACCGGCTTGCAGCGCAGCAGAGCTTCCCCAGAGTTCCCCAGCAGCCTCAGAGACAAAGTCAGCTCGAGATCAGAGCCGAGAGAAGAGCAGACAAACAGAGCTCGTCCCAGAGCTGCCCGGCCAGCCAGACGTTGTGGAGGCCTTGGCCCTGACCGTCAGGCAGTGACTTCAGAACTATCAATGACTCACAACTAATCAATATTCCCTGGTTCCAAACGTATATTGTTCCTGACAGAATATTTGCATTGTAGTCTTGTGAAAGCTCATAACCTTGAAGCCTGTAAATACTGTAAATATCTGATTTGTTCATGTGCTGTATGTGTGATAGGGTTGACTCACTGCTCTTATTTAATGAGCTCAGTCAGTGGGGCAGCCGTCTAACCCGCTCACAGGCACAGGGTCTCTCCCAGGCAGGGACGCACCTGAGCTGGATCATCCCAGCTGTCCAGCTGCTGTGCTGAAGAGCAAGTGAAGAGGTAAGTGGTGAGGCGCTGAGGGGGTACTGCCCTCTTTCATGCACTGCTAAAAACCCGCTGCTACATCTGCTGTTATGAGTCAAGATTCTGAAGTGGATAATGATTGAGTGTCCATCCGTCACATTTCCAGGTGTGGGACCGCAAGGGTTTGAGGCTGGGAGAGCCCCACCAAACCCCTCACATCCACCTGCGTGCCACGATGTTCGCTGGCACGCTTGACAGCTGTGTACAATATCATTTGTATCCTCTCTCTAGATATATATCTGGTCTATTTTGCACACTAATTTATTCTGGATGTCTCCCTATGGTGAGCAGTATTCTCCTTTTATATGAAAAAAATAAAAACATCTCTCAAAATGAAAGAAACTTGTCCAGTGACTCTTTTAAAATGACATACAAGCTGCAGGCCTTTTGTTTGACAGTGCCTTCTAGTCAGAGGTGTGAAGCTGGGCCTCCTGCAGAGCTACGTCCTCCAGGTGTGAAGCTGTGGCCTGAAGTGAAAGAGCTCAGTACAAGGATCACTTCAAAGACATCAAAGATAGTCAGTGTCACACATTGTTTACTGAGCCTGGAAGGCTTCTGGATGAAACCAGGAAAAGGGTTAACAGAGCTCAGAGCTCAGAGCAGCCAAGAAGACACAGATCTAATTTTTAAAAGAAACTTTTATCCACCTTTTCTGGTTGTTTTATTCACAATAAGGTCTTTTATCATCCACTTCTATCTGCAGCTACATGTGACTGAGTCCATTCCAACCGATTTTAAATACAACAGAAATGGTTCCACAGCTTTACAACAAGGAGAACTTCTAGTTCCTTTAACAGCATTCAAGATAACTTCTAACTACACAGGACAGAATGAGTTGAATAATATGAAAATGTTCTTGCCGTTGTAATTAGCAGTTGTCACACCAGCACCGCTCCCGAACTGCTCAGAGGCCATTTGTTTTCCACGCGTGTCTGGTGTCACAGCACAGAAAGCCAAATGCGCGTTAACACCTCCTGCATCACACACATTTGGCCTTCAGCTGTCCTGGTTGTCTGCTCAGGAACGTTGTTTAAAACCGACATAAAACACGTTTCTGTGTCCAGATGAATGTTCGTCTCCGTTTATGAACAAACCAGAGCAAAATGAACGCTGTGCGAAAATGATGAAACCTTCTTGTGTTAATTTGTGAATCAGGTCCTGCAGAGCTGTAAATCCATAATAAGCTCCATTTATACGGATGATAGTTTGTGTATTCGGCGGGGATGAAATTAAATGACCAAATCCAAACTGTAGAGGGGAATTTAAGATAAAATGCATCAGCTTATTTAGTAAAGTTTAGTTTTGCATCACAGTAAGACAATGCTTTTTTAAAAAAAAAAAGAAAGAAAGAAAGAAAGCAAAAGAAAACAAGGAAATCTGTTTTTACTTGTTCCTATTGACTTTGTTTTTAACTGTCCGGCTGCAGATCGCTCCCATGGGAGACGATCTTCTGCTTCGTTCTCATGGGAAAACGAGACAGAAACACCCATTTGCACTTTTATTATCTGCTAGGGTTCGTACATCATTAAAAGAAGTGTGTGTGTGGAGCACTGCCGGCTTTCGGGTTCTCACACACACACTTTACGCACATCGGTCACTCAGATGTAAATGACGCACCACGCCTGCATCGTAATCTCACTTCTTTATTGAGCTCTACAGAAACGTTTCAGCACACGTTTCTCCACCCGATGTTGAATGGCTCCGACAGGCCACCTTTCTCTAGTTTGCCATAATTATTCATTTGACTGAATCACAGACTTGTGGCTCGAAGAAAGTGGCTGTAGTTTGGGATTACAGATCACTGCTGTTTCTGTGTCTCCATCAGTTTATTGCCTTTAAGTACTGCGGACTGTAAACGTGCCTTCTGGACGTATCACATTCCTGAAGTACCTTAAGTTTTATTTGTCTCAAGTCTTTCTGGATGAAGGCCTTGGCGCGTGCCGATGGATGAGGAGCTCTCCAAAAATATACAAAGAAATCCTCTGATAAATGTAGTAACGGGAACAAATACTTTCCATTCATTTAAATTCTTGGGGAGCTTCTAAGTCACAATTTCCCCTTAAAACCTTCTTTTATAAAGGAGTTAGTCTGTTGAGACGCCGTGTTCAGATGCCCGTGCGTGAATAAGGCGTGAATTGGTCGTGTGCTGCCAAAGCTGCGGCGCGCGTCTGCACAGGAGATCAAAGGGTTTCGTGGATTGCAGAGACACGATTCTCTCTCACGGTGAAAATGTGGCTAAATCCCCGTTACATTTCATAATCTGCACGTTTTGGCCGCTATTAAACTAAAAAAAAAAAAGTCATCATGAGCGCAGCACAGTGTGCGTAAAACGTTGTTTTCTGTCTAATTTATGGCCAAATGATACCTGGAAGGAACATGTTGACAAAGCAGCAGGGATGGAAAGTAACTAAGTATATTTACTCAGTAAGTGTTAAGTATATCTATTTGATGTTCTGCTCCACTACATTTCAGATGGATTTTTGTATCCATTAACTTTAATACAGATATAAGTGCTTGTGAAGTTACATGTTTTTGTGTTTTCCAACTTGTCATGCTTCAGATATCTGAATTGTTCATGGAAACATTTTCCCTCAAAACTGTCTTATATAAATGATTGATTAAAGCCCAGAACATCAAATCATGCAACATTTCTGTAAAGAGAGCAAAGAAAACAGATTTGCATGTCATAACACTTCTCTACTTTTGTCTCCCCATTGATCCTCTTCAGAACTCAGATTTTTTTTGTCTGGCGACCCTTAGGATGGACGTGACCCCTCGGTTGAGCACCACTGAACACACTAAACATAAACTACCTCCAGCTACTAGTACACACTCTGATACTTTATTTTTTCTGATAATGTTTCCTTTAAATTGTGAATCCAGTGTGTCAGTGTGACTTCGTGTGTTTTATATCTGTACTTTTATTTAATCAAAGAATCCGAGTAGTTTTTTTGTACCACAGCAAAAGGCGCTGGTTTCGAGGTGAGAAAAGCAAATGGTCCAAGGTTTTCCAAACCGAGTGACAATAAATACGTGGAGTGTAGCGGATGCACATTTGACACATAGCACGATGCAGACAAATGCTTGGTGGGTGTGAGAGTGGGAGAGCGTCCTCCAGCTTGTTCTCGTCGTGGGAATGTGAAGCAGGAAGCTCGGCCTCGCCTTTATTACCTGTTAAAACTGATACACCATAGACAAAGTGTGCTTGGAGGTGAGGTGACACTCACGTTCTGAGACACAACAAGCGTGTGACATTCAGAATAATCACTACAGATTGTCACAAGAGTCCAGAAATGTTCTTTTTTTATACATATAAAGCTATGTAACTAACCCCATTCTTTTGAAGAGTCGTGCGTAAATGGATGGATTTTACGCGTGCCAAGGCTGTCCCTCGATAAATCGCCTTACAAAAATGTACTGCTTGAAAAATTGATATTTTAAAGGATTTTTGATCATTTCTCTGATGACAGCTCAAGCAAACTGCGCTGGATTTAACGGGTGTTGAATGCGTATTTGCACCAACGTTCAGCGCTGCGCAGACGTGGGATTGCCTCCCCCACGTCTCTCTCATGGGAAACTCGAGCAAGAAGTTCAATTCACACTTAATTGTCTGTTAGAACTGGTACGTCGTAACGCAAAGTGTGTGGGAGGCGAGGTGGATGCCGGGTTCCCACGCGCAGACCTCACAAAATTACACCTTGCTACACACAAATACACACATCTGCAGTCTGTCGCCAATTGAGTTTCATCACATTGATCTTCAAAGCTGCGCGTAAAGCAGTTTTACGCACACAGCTGGCAACATTCTGTAGATTAGAAAACACGTGATGGATGAAGTCAGACAGCCAGACTTTCAGCAGTGTAAAGTAACTGAATACTTTTACTTAAATACTGTACTTGTGTACAATTTTCGGGTAACTGAGTATTTGCTTTTGCTGCTACTTTACGTTCCCACCCCACATTTATGAGAGAAGTATTGTACTTTTAAAAAAAAACAAACAAAAAAAAAAACAAAACCGTCACATATATTTTAAACTGTAGTTACTAATCATGATATTACCAACAGGATTATTGTTGATTTTGCTTTACATCTCCAAATAAAGAGATTTTATAATCCACAGCACTGCGCGTAAAAGAAAGGATTTTACGTGACAGTTTCCCTTCGTGCCGTTTTATACAGAACAAGTTAAACTCTCAGAAACATATGATGAATAAAACCAAACAGCAGTTTTTAACTTGCAGCGATGTAAAAAAACGAAGTACATTTACTCAAGTATAGTACGTGAGTACATACTTGGAGTAGTTACTTTCCTTTTTCTGCTACTTTATGCTTCCGACACATTTCAGAGCGAGATATTGTGATTTTTACTGCACTACATGTATTTTTGTAACTTTAATTAGTAATTGTTTTATTCAGATTAATTAAACCAAATAATTAAACACTCAGAACCTTTTCCAGTATTATTGTTGTAACGTCCTGCTTCGATGCTTCTGGATTAACATGAACCTGTATTGATTATAAGGGGAAGAAAAGATTCAAATCAGCAGCTGCAGCATTAAAATGATGATGATCACTTGAACGAATCAATAATTATTGTCCAATAATACAACATGAATTCTTCTGAAGAGCCACTTTGCATCATGAGAACTTTTACTTTGGGTTCTTTAAATATATTCAGATTCTGATACTTTTTTTTACTTTCAGTAACTGTACTTGAAGCGAAGTATTTCTGCTCTGTGTTTTTACTTTTACACACAAGCTGGTTTTATTTTACATCCACAAGTATTTTCAGAACTGTGCGTAAAAAAGGACTTTACGCCAAAACAGTTTCCCTTGTTGCCTTTTTAAAAAATAGAAATAAAGCAATTCTCCATCACTGGATCGACTCTCGGTCCAGATGCTTTGGATTTTACAGAACCATGATCCATTTGTCAGGCAGTCCTGGTCTCAGACTCGCCTCCCTGAGAACCGGCTGCCTGCATTTCATCCATGCGTCCATGACAATGACGCGGCGGGTCGCCGTCACTTGTCTGCAGCTTCACGCTGTCCTGGCGGATGTCGGTCACACATGTAAATAAGTGTCACACGTGCTGGTGACACCTTTCACAGGCGCGTGCCGCTCACACCTGAGCCGCTGCACGCGCCAGCCGATCAGCGGAGAGCCCTGTTGGCGCGTCGTTCAGTCTCCATTCATCTTCAGATTCTCGTCCAAATGTGTTAAAATACGTGCCTTCAAAAAAGCAACCTGAAGCTTTAAATGAATAAGAACACAAATATTTAAAAAAAAAAATCCTAATCTTGGGTTCATATTTCAAGAATAAAAGCCCCCATTTGCCCCCAATATGGCAAACTCTCAGATTGTGGCAATAGCTTCAGACCACAAGAGAAAACACATCCAGAGTTCAAATGTTCATTATTTTACCAACAGAAAGCAGAGAAACTGATTTTAGTGCCTTTTTGTGACCACCTCAGCGGCCTGTGAGTCTGTGGTGGTGGTGGTGGGAGGAGCCTGAAGCCACGCTCACTTGTAGTTTAAAAGCCCTCCCTGAAGCCTGAGCGCTCACACTCAGCTGTGACTGACTGAGCGACGGATCCGCAGGTTCTGCTGGAAACATCACCAACTACAATCATGAAGATGCTCCAAGATCTAGAGGACGCAAAGGCCAAGAGGAAGGTACTCAGATCATTTATGCTGTCATGAAATATCGCAGATTATTTTGTTGCTATCAGCGCGTCTCTCCTGAGATGTTTATCACTTACACACAGAGTATTCTGTATTCATTCATGTTGGTCTCATTTTGTCCTCCATAGAGTCTCAAACCTCAGGTGGAGAAACGCAGACGGGAGAGAATTAACCGCAGCCTGGAGAACCTGAAGACTCTTCTGCTCCAGCAGCAGGTAAAGGCCACATACGTCGGTTTGTTCATCCCACAGCACCAAACGTTTCTCAGCGTTGCTTTGAGAAACTTTTTTTTTTAATTGTTTATTTCTGTCTTAGGAGCAGCCTCGGCGCAGAGTGGAGAAAGCTGAGATCCTGGAGCACACTGTCCTCTTCCTCCAGAACACTGTCCAGGCAGACAAGGCGAGAGCTGGGGGTGGAGGTCAGAAACACTCCTTTCAAGACGGTTTCTCCACCTGCCTGCAGAGAGCTACTCAGTTCCTGGGGCCTCAAGGGAAAGGCCTGTGGCTCGGAGGAGCGCTGGACGCATCGTTCGCCTCTCGCTTCTCCCGTGCAGACGCTGCATCTGCAGGCAGAAGAGCTGAAGCCCCTCAGTCCTCCTCCAGCTCTTTGCTTCTCAGTAAGTCCTCCAGGTCTACTCTCCGGATGCTGATACACAGATCCGGGCACAGACTGTGCGCAACTGCAGTAAATGTGGCCAGTTGTGGTCACTCAAACGGAGAATCAAGTCGCGCCCAAACAGCTCCCCAACAGCCCCACAAAGCGTTGAATCGAGCGAGCAAACAGAGTCCGCCGCCGAGCCTCCCGGTCAGCGCGTCTCTGTGGAGACCCTGGCCCTGACCACCACTCCAGAAACAGAACTTTTAAAGGCCATAATGCGTGTTGTTCATTGGGGACCGCTGCAGTGCAATGTATTGTCCACAGACGTCCTGCTCTCTGTGACCTCTGCTCGTCGTTGTAAATGTTTTCTGATCTCACCTGATGCTGCTACAGCCTGTACAGGCGAACTCATGTTGACTGTGTCGTTTACGAAATGTTTTTGCACCTTAACTTATTTCAGTTTTTCATCTGTAAATAAACAAAATGGAAATTCCATTAAACAACGTGTTCTCTGATTGTTTCTCGGCACGTGTCTTAACGAGCATAAGTGTGGACTTGTGCTGCCACACACACGAGGATTAACGGCACCATGTGGTGACGCTTCACAGTTTCACACGATGGAACAAACTTCTTTATTTAAAAACTCTAATATGGGCGAGGTGGTCAAAACACTCAGAAACAAATAGTTCTATATGCATTTATATTTTACCAGTGAATAGCTAACTCTGACAAAACCAAATAAATAATTTCAAGTTGACTAAGAGTCGTGCGTAAAAGGTGCCAGTTCCCGTGCGTAATGACGCTTCGTTCTGATTTGACATCGGCCCCGATTGACGGAATGTTTTGCAGGTCTAAGTAAACATTAAACTGAGAATAGGACAAGCTGTGTGACTGTTAATTCACTACATGTTGCAGAAAAAGACGAACACTTCGGGAGTGAGAAAAATGTCTCTTCTGCTCTGCCCTTATCTAACTGCACCCGTTTAAAGACGTGTTGACACCGTGGAACAGTTCTCTAAGTCTGCAACTCATTTGCATCTCAATCGGCGGTGAAAACGCGTGGGAACGCGGGAAGCGTCTCCCCCCGTGTGCCATCCTTTCCAGAGATGTATCAGTTCTAACACATAGTAAAGTCGTAAACGCAGGGCTGCTTCCCCCTTTCCCACGAGAAACGTTTAAAGGAGAAAAAATGGGCTCAATGGAAAAGCTGGAAATGACAGTTTTCTCAGTCTTTTAGTTCAACTCACTGTTGTTGAAGTAAAACCGCGCAAAGGTTGAACATGTGATCAATTTGCATCCATAAGTGACCTCTTATTTTCAGAAACTGTAGGTTATTGCTTCAGATGAACATTTAGATGCGACAAATTCAAGACAACATTTGATCCCAGCTGGCGTGTGCAGGTCTCCTTCAGACACGCGCCAGCTCGACATGCGCAAACACATTTTGGGGCAACTGCAGAAGACAATTAAGTTCCAATTTCCTTTTGTCTTCTGACGTTCACACACGTCGTTCACGTGTGATATTTAAAATAATCACTACAGGTTGCAACAAGAGTGCAACAACGTTTTCAACTTAAAAAGTAACGAAGCCAAACGCACCCAAACGTTGTGCGTAAAAGTACCGGTTTTACGCACGGCGCGGTTGTTCGGAAATTATTTAACAAAAATGTGTTGCTTTTAGGCTCCTTAAAATGGATTTCAAAAGAGGTTTCTTAGTTGATTATCTGAAACAGACCAAGTTTGGTTTAATGGGTGTTGAATGCGTCTTTGCACCAACCTTCAGCGCCAGTTTATGCAAACGAGGGACTACCTCCCCCAGGCCTCTCTCATGGGAAACTCGAGCAATTCACACTTCATTAGCTGTTAGAACCGATACATCGTAACGCTGAGTGTTGGTGAGGAGAGGTGGATGTGAGGTTCCCACGCGCAGACCTCACAAAAGAGCATCTTAAGCAAACAGCTGCAGTCTGTCGCCTTCTGAATTTAATGACGTTGATCTTTAAGCTGCGCATCGAGCCGTTTTAGGCACACAGTTGTCAGCGTTCTGCATTAACTGTGGAGGCTGTTGATTAGGAAACATGTAAATAAAGTTAAACAGCAGTTTTGACTCATCATAGTGCAAAGTAACAAAGTGTTTTCATGAAGTCCTGTACTTCAGTAGGACGTGGTTTATTTGAGTATTTGTATTTTCTGCTACTTCTGCTTCTTTATGCCACGTTTTTGAAGGAAATAATGTACTCTGATTACTTTGCATTGTCATCTAAATACAAAGATTTTAAAAAACAACAACATTGTATTTTAACATGAGTTGTGTCTGCATCATGCTGCTCTTGCAGATATCTCTCACCCTCACACTTATCTTCTATAAATGATGAAAATGTAGAGCTGTGATTTCATTATTTACTTTCAATCAGCTGCTTCATAAACTTGTGTATTTACTGTCATGACTCAGGTGCTTTGGATGCACTGGTGTCTGATCACTGTACACTGCCTGTGTCATTCAGGGTTAAAAAGAGAACTATGGATCATTAGGATTTGCTGTTTTATTTTAAAACCCTCTAAGCTGTTAATATCTATCAGTCAGTAAATGTCACCAAAAGAAACCAGATTAAAGTTGTGCTCCTGATTCATATTGCTGCCTGTGATGTAAATGAAAAAAGAAAATCTGTTTTATATGCATTGAAAATCCTTTTATTGGAGGCCTCAACAGGACTCTGGTGTCTCTGTGCCGTTCCTTTATTAGCTCTCCTCACACTGATCAGAATACAAGCTGTTGCGAGACAGTTCATGATATATTTGACTGGAACTCACTGCAGGCACTTTGTCTTGTTTCTTTTTGACTGTAACAGAATATTTACAACAACATCCTGCTCCCTGACAGGCAGTAATAATTTATGCAAGGCTGAGTACAAAATGATGAGGGAAGGTGGGAGCATCTCCGAGGGCTGCCTGCCGTGTGTTTATTTGACAGAAATAGAAAAAACAAGTGATCTAAGAAGTTGCATATTGGATAATAACAAACTCCCAAATGTACAATCCAGCTCAGGGCCTTTTGTTCTGAGGTTCCATGGCTGGTTTTTCCTCTACAAGGCCGTCTGCGTGGAGTCAGGCGTGTTGTTTGCCCTCTCACCTCTGGACTTGGGCTCTGTGTTTGTAGGACTCACTGCTGCTTGCTCTGCCCTGTGCTCACCGTTTACAACCGGCTGGCGATCTGGTGGGGCAGCAGCTTCTGGAGGAGCTGAGACGACTACCCTCTCTATGAGCTCCCCGGCCGTTCTGTCCGTCACTATAAGGTAGTTGGGCTCCGGCTGGTGGGCGCTGGAGCGACGCTGCAGTGCATGCTGGGTGCAGGAAAAGGACCGCTGGCGGGGGGCAGGCTGGGGCGAGAGGAAGTGAGGCGTCGCAGCTCTGGGGATGTCCTGGTGCCGGTCGCGATCCTCGTCCTCTGAGGTCACCTCCTGTAAGGTGCTGATTGGCCGAGGGGAGCGGCCCATGACTCTCGGTGGAACAAGCGCCGTGGCTGATTGGTTGAGCTGAGGCCGCCAGTTCTGAGGGGAGGGGTACTGCACTCGACCCATCGACCAATCACTGGCGGGACAAGAGGGTCGACATAATATGAGATTATTTAGTGCTTCATAACTTCTCATGTAAACATCACAGAACTATGAGCGGCAGCTGAAACTGAAGCAAAGACCCGATAAGTAGGAGACAGTTCATTGTTTTTACCCTGTTGTTATTTCAAAGTGTTTTTATTGTGCTGGTAGTCACATCATGAGCAAACTAAGTCGTCAGCGCCATGGCTGATTATCTCCACGTAGAACTGCAGCGTACCGATCGATGACACAGAATAAGACCTCCAAGGTTTTGTTTGTAAAAACCTCATGACCCAATCCTGTTGACTTGCAGGGCAGTGCTTTCTGTGGTTCTGGCTTAGACTCTTGGCCCGGGGTCTTTCTGTGTGGGTTTTTACACTCCCAAAGACATGCTGAGGTTAACTGGTGGTTCTAAACTGTCCATAGGTGTGAATGTGAGTGTGTCTGGTTGCCCTGTCCAGGGTGAACCCTGCCTTTGCCCCAAGTCAGCTGGGATAGGCTCCAGGAGTAAAGCAATGCATGGATAGTGGATGGACGGCTTCCAGTTTGAAAATGGCTCAATTACTCCAGCGTTTCAATGTTCTATCGTGTAGCACACAGTCGGTTTCCATGAAACTGTCGAGCAAATCTGAAGCAAGCTTTAGCAATGTCGCAAAAAAAAGTATATTTTGAAATTGTATGGATCTGGATTTTAGTTTTAGATGTAAAATGTTGGTATTTAAAAGCCTTAAAGGTGGAGTGAGTGATTCTAAACCAGTCCAATTTTTGTTTAATTCAGCAAATACATTTTTTCGGTTTAGGAAACGAGCTAGCTCAAACCAAATCACACAGCACGACTCCAGTGTGTCATGTTCACATCCGTGTTTATGTGCAGGAAGAGAGGGATGGTAGCTCTGGCATATGGTCGCTACCTACATATGCTAACTGGATAAATATCACATATCAATATTATTTTGCCCTGATGCTCAAACAGAAACTCTTCCTGTAATGTGTGCTTGCATTACATTTCTGAAACCTTACTTTTGTGGTGGTGGGGTCATGTCTCGATGTGCTATGATGCCAGAGAAGGAGGCGCTTCGTCCAGGCAGGCCTTGTGATCCGGCCCACGGCGAGTACATCAGAGTGCGCTCCTCCCACATCATCTCACTGCCTGAGTCTACCGGGACGGGCCCTCTCTGGATCTGGTGAGCCAGCAGGAGTTCCAGGACCTGGTGGCGCATGCCCTCTCTGGCCACGTCGACCGGACAACGTCCTCGGCGGTCGTGCAACTCGAGGTTGGCACCGTGAAGAAGGAGAAGTCTGGCGGTGTCATAGCAGCCGTGGAGGGCCGAGAGGAAGAGCGCCGTCTCGCCCTAATGTGGAAATAATCAGCAAGACAACATACTGCTGAAGTATCTGGAGGACATCAATACAATCATCACTCTGAAATGTTGTGATAAATCCTCTCTAACAGCAGTGATGAAGTCTCAGTCAGAGCTTACCTTGTTGTCTTGTAGGTCCACAGCGGCCCCATAACGAATGAGGGTCCTTGCTAGGGAGAGGTGGTTTACTGAGCATGCCCAGTGCAGGGCTGATCTCCCTGAGAGAGACAGTGTGAGTGGAGGTGAGGGGGAAGAAGGGAGGGAGTAAGTCAGCCAATGAACAACCATTACACAACAGAGTCGAGCCCAGGTGGTGAAGAGGAGGAGAAGGAAGGGAGGGGATGTGGAGAGCCTCAGCCAGAGAGAAGACGAGATGATGGGACACAACGATGGATAGAATAAGGAAAATGAGAGACACAAGGAAAAGCAAAAGCAAGAAGAGCGACAAAGCTAATATGTCCACGGTCCGGAGTTGAAGCACTGGTGGACATTAACTTTGTTCTGAGTCAGAGGAGGGCAGCAGGGGAGCTGGAGGAGGAGGAGGAGGAGGAGGAAGAGGCCAAAGAGAGCAGAAGAAAGGATGGGAGAGGAGGGACACAAAAAGAGGGCGTGAGAGAGATGGGGTAAGTTACAAGTTACTCGACCCCTCAGCGTACACGAGTCAGAAAATAATGGCCTCCA